AATGAGGCCTAGTGGGAGTAAAGAATGCAACTCAAATCAATCGAATGATGAACAGGGAACATACCACGCCTTTAGCGGAGTCCCGCCGACTGTCATTGACTTGTCCGGCCAGGACTAGTGAAACCACTAACGAGCCCAAGGCACAGAGGGTAGACATATACAATACAATAATTACAGGCGCTTGATTCTGAACAGATGGAACCGCCATAAAACTGATGTCAACAGCAAGCATCACGGTAGACTGGGACGGACATCGAATGCATTGACGATATGAAGTAAAAGTACAACTCACGAATATCGTGTATCCGTTCCATTCATTATTAAGCCTGTTAATAAAGTTTTTCCAACGCCGTTGAACAATGGTGTAATCGACCCATATCTTGTGAAGGGCCTTGCTTTGAGCATCAGGGGATCCAAACAGAATGACGTTCATGAAGCGAAAAAGGATGCTTTTCGGGCGGGGAATAGAATCGTCGTATAACGACTGGTCTGAGTCAAGTCGGGCGCCCGGCTGTCCGCAGAAGTTTGCAAACTTGTCGCTGCCTAATCAAGTAGTTAGACAGAAAGCCTGCACTCGCATCTAGCCTGAGCTCACAGAAATCTCCCATAAACCGAGCTGAATTTATCAACAAAGGTATCAGAAACAATCAACAGAGCTTCCGTGTTTAGACTTACCGACGATCCACACAGAATGCTCATGCTCCTTGTCAACACTGCCTGAACAGATGATCAGCGACGACCTCTCATATCAAGAAATAATTTACTCATGAGAGGATCCATAAGGCCGAGCATACTTGAAACCTCGTCCGAAGCATAAGGTGCTAGGCATTTTTCAGAAGTGATACTGTCTATTACGAATCATTCCGGTACGTCACAGATGATTTTTAGTCTTTACCCACCTGCCTGAGTAAACATAACAATTTCCTTAAGTCTTACGAGGTCATCTTCCGGAAGGAAGCGTTTGTTTGGAAACAATTCAACATGCATCCTGTCGAGATGATGATAATGTGTAACAATAGGAGGTAAGAAGGACTGTTACACATTATCAGCACATTTACTTCGGTCGGTAAGGGAACATGCATACTTCTGAGACCGTACGAACCAGTACTGTGATTCTAGTGCATACCCTGGGAGTGATACAATGGGAGAAGCTCGGATGAATATCGGACGGAATAAACTCACTGACATGGCTTTTGCATTTTACTCCTCGAACATTATCCAAAAGATCTTTAGATTTGTGGGGCTCTAGCCAGAAAATGACACGTCTGTCATGATCGGCAAAGTAGTAGCCCCACTTCTTTTCCCCATCCACCTCCACGCGCTCCAAGGTGAGTTCGACAGACGTATGAAAGGTATCTGCCTTGCGGGCTTCTTCGTACGCCTGCTTAACAACCTCACCCATTGTACATATTGTGACCGCAGTTCCAGGGTCTCGGACATCAACATCAGTGAAAACTCGCTGGACGGAGATATGAGCAAACTCATGCAGGAGCAGCCGGACATACATCACTCGAGTGATAGAAAAACAAAGCGCCTTCTGGGTGCGTGAGCAGCTCCCATCCTGACACCGAAGCGAGCTCCCTGACAGCCCCTTTCAATCTCATCGAGTGCTCTGTCACCAGCATGCTTACTCTGAACAGTCCAAAGGACCTTTCTGAATCTCAAAATCTTCATTGTGATCTTGACTGTCGATATGATTTATAACGGGGTTAAGATGGTAATGCGTCCGACAGATATATTTTGCGTACAATTTATTCCTCTCGTATCTCTTTATTTGTCCAGGTATGATGGGAGTTAGAGTGATATCAAAGAGTTGCCCTGGCGCCGCAGGATAGGGCGAGCTTGGTGTCGATGACACAGAAGTGGTCGGCTCGGTCGGGAAAGTCTGGTTATTGGAAGCTAAGGGATTCGGCCCTTCATTTTGCAGAGGTACTTTAAGCAACGGTACTGCGAGGGTCCCATGGGTCTTCTTCTCTTGGTCGGCCGGATGAGAGCTGAATGCTAAACTCGGATCTCGAAAAGTTCCCTCTTTTCCCCCAACAAAGACCTGACAGCGTTGGATTAGCCGCAGAAGGAAGGCGAGGAGACTCGTATACGAGCAAGATACGGTGGTCCTGACAGAGAGCCTCAGCCAGGCAATGAACATGCGAATGTGATGTCCTCCAGGCATATTGACAATCATCGAGGACGACTCCTGTACAAAGAACTCTTGAATGGCCAAGTCTCACGGACATTACGTTACTTACTTACGCTTGCCTCATCAATGTGTAAGTATTGATGGCCCGGATCTTCCCGTTATTCCATCATTTCACTTGCTTCTGATAATTCAAGCACCCTCTACGAAAGGCCACTCGCGCCACTACATGTGCAATAGGAGATAAAGCTAGGACATTGAGAGGTAGTGAATACGGTGTGCAGTAGATAGTGTTTCATCTGCAAAACCACTGAAATGAATGCTTAGCTTAAGCACTTTACGGACACTTACAAACGCTTACAACTTTAGTAGCACACTCACGTGATTGGTGGAGATGCTTTTACAGTTGTTATTTTATTTCTTTGGTATCATTTTATTTCACTATTCTAAACTTACGAGAGATGGAGAATCGAACATTTTGATTACATGTAATCTCTCACATTCCACTGAAGATAGATAAAGCAGAAAACATAATGCAGGTGAGCTGCAAGCTAACAAAAAATGTAACTAGTGCAAGTCTGAGCGCAAGGTATGATACACTTCCTTGTCTGAGAAATTATTCAAGTAAAAGCACTTGTACACCTCCATGCTAGTTTCTGCACCCACTCTATGGTTAGTTCCTTAGGGATAAGTTCTACCGCATGTGTAACATCTGTTAGAGGGATAACCATGCCCAATCTCATCCTCTGACTGCCAGGCCCATCATGATATTTTAGGGCTACTGTATACATGCTGATGGCAGGCTGATCGCACAGATGACCAATGACCTCATAATATTGTACATAAATCAGTGGTTGATCTGCAAGGTAGTGGGGAAGTGTGGCGTGATGAGGTGGAATGGGCTGGAAGATAGCTCGCACTTGTGCAATAAGATTTACTACATAAACTTCAATTAGTGATATATAGTTGCATAAAATAAATCTTACCCGTCTGGTCACCATGTGATGACTGCACGATAACTGCATCACAATTTCCCAGAGGAAATATTTGTGAAGGTGGACTGGCTTGAATGACCTGACTAGGCATAATCAGCTGCGAGCGAAATATGGAATGCAGCTGTAATTGAAACTTGTTCCAAGTCTTAACACAACCACGATCACAGCTCCATGACATTGCAGGTTGGCCATTAGAGGCCTTTGTGATGTAATTGGATAGTAATCATCCAAAATCTGGCAATGTATAGAGTTGCTGAACTTCATTGATAGATGTCTTGGCTCTATCAGGAGCGATGGTAATGTGGAAGGCAGTTGTCGCAGTGGAAGACAGTATGCCCTTCAGAAAATGGTTTTGAACCAGATGGGGTCCAATGAAACAACACTGATTGGGATCACCAGGTGCGATGTGGGCGATCCATGCAAGGGCAGGGTTGATTTTGGTGATCTCTTGCTCTTCTGTGACTATAGCATTGGTGAGGGGGGTGTTGTGCATCTGTAGGAAGAGATACAGCTGAAATCATCGCATTGACTCCTCATGGTTGAGAATATCGACAATCTGCTCTGTAAATGTGCATGACTAGCGGGATGTCCTTTCAAATGGAAGCTTGCAATGAGTGATGAGAAGGCACTCAGTGACATCAGCCATCCATTGAATGAGAGCACCTATATCCTTTGTGAACATAGTGAAGCTCTGTAAAAGCTCCAGCTTTGGGATGAGGAAGTGGTCAATCGTTCCTTTCATGCCTCGTCTAGCTCCTGCATCAAGAATTGCTTGCTTATGGTCATGAAACTCTTTGAGAGATGCAACCATGGAATCAATGGAGGTATCTGTATAAACAGGGCTTTGAGCCTTGTAAACAAAGTCAATCAAAGTGCGGATCATGTGGACAAACTGGGGAGGCGCAACCCCAGCAATGGAAGGCACCAAGGTGCATTGCAAGTCCTGGTGTTCTTGGCCAGTCATTTGTTTCATCTGGCACACTCCAGATGAAAAATGGCGCATTCCTACTCGCTTGTGGTGACTTTTGAATTGGGCATCAAGTTTGTCCTTACCCACTAGTTCTTTGCACCACTTGAATGGATGACCAAAAAAGAATTTATGGCAGGTGTGGAGAACTTCTCCTGCTAAGAAGTGAGAAGGATCTGTGAACTGCCAGTTCCGCAAAAATGGTTGGTGAACACCACTTAACGAATGAGCCTTCGCTTCCTCCTGGAATTCGCGTAGCCTCCATGGATCAATGTGTTGACAGATGTCATATATCACTGAAAGGGCATGTTCCTTTGTGCATGGTGTGTGGTGATAGTTGTTGCCAAAGGATTGAGAGGTGGCCAACATAATAGGAGAAGTGACCTTCGAGACACATGCGATCACTTGCTGTTCTGGCAAATCTGCAGTGTAAGCAGCCAGAGGCATGAAGCAGTGTTGTACATGGCCAGATGGATCAGGCATAAATTTGCCTGTCATGGCTGCAACCTTGGCATTTGCAAAGATAATATCCATGCACTTATGAAACAGCCATTGACTTAGAATAATTTGGTAGTCAGAATGGATGTTGGTGAATTTTAGAATCGGCATGAAGCCAATGCATTGCCAAGCATGACTCATTACTCTCATCCATACATCAGACTGAATATTAGCGATTGAGACGAAGATAGGGTGCATTTCAAGCCCTCCAGTGTGCCATGTCATGGGTGTCTTGTCAGATGCAATGACTATTGGAACTATGGTAGCGCCTTTGGGAAGTTGGTCCTGTACCAAAGCATCAGTCAATCACTGTAAGTAAGTTGTGGGATTTTACCTGAATCTCGAATGCTTGTCGCACTGTAAAATATTCACTATACTCATGCTCATCACCATCGACCATGATGTGTGGGTCATATGTCATGTGGTTTGTGAAAATTGGATTGGTGAAGAGATCTTCCACTACTTCTAAGCCATCACACCAGATGAGCTGTACTGGTTGGACAGTTGGATAGCCTGTTATTTCAAGTGTTGTTGAACACCATTTTGGTCCGGTGGGAAGAGAACCCATCCATGCAAGCAGCTGGTCTTTTGAGCCAAACAATGGTTTAGCTCAGCATACCTAATCAGAGGAGATATGGTGGAGATACAAGGCTTACAAAATCATGACTCATGCAGACAGTTTTTTGAGCACATATTAAAACTATATAAATCATCATTTATGACACCATAACAATCATGCCACCATTAAATAAATTATAAAGTGGTGTCATTATGTCATTTTAAAACCATATCTAACTATACAAACCAAAAATTTCCATATGTCATGGTTATATTCACCATGAAAGCCACCTCCCCTGCTCAAAGGGATAATATCCTCTCTCTTTCCTATTCTGGCCTCTCTGCTTGTCAAATTTCCTCTAGAACTGGAGTATCCAAGTCCACTGTGGCCAAGTTCATCAAAGAAAGTCACACAGACAAGGAAAACTTCTGTGAAGGGTGTCCATCCAAGCTCACCTCTACTGATAGGAGGGCTATTATTCAACATATCACTACAGGAAAGGCTGATAATGCTGTCCAGGTCACCTATTACATCAATTCCACCATCACATTCCCTGTCTCTTCACACACTGTGAGAAACATTCTCAAGACAGCTCATCTCAGGTCAGTAACAAGGAAGAAAAGGCTCTCCTCTCTATCACACATATGCAGAGATGACTAACCTTTGCCTTAGCCCATCAGAATTGGATTACATGGACTGGAAGCATGTTATATGATCATATAAGACCACAATAAATAGGATTGGGTCAGATGGCAAGGTATATATGTGAAACAAGAAGGGTGCTAGTCATATCTGCATATGTGTAATAGAGAGGAGAGCCTTTTCTTCCTTGTTACTGACCTGAGATGAGCTGTCTTGAGAATGTTTCTCACAGTGTGTGAAGAGACAGGGAATGTGATGGTGGAATTGATGTAATAGGTGACCTGGACAGCATTATCAGCCTTTCCTGTAGTGATATGTTGAATAATAGCCCTCCTATCAGTAGAGGTGAGCTTGGATGGACACCCTTCACAGAAGTTTTCCTTGTCTGTGTGACTTTCTTTGATGAACTTGGCCACAGTGGACTTGGATACTCCAGTTCTAGAGGAAATTTGACAAGCAGAGAGGCCAGAATAGGAAAGAGAGAGGATATTATCCCTTTGAGCAGGGGAGGTGGCTTTCATGGTGAATATAACCATGACATATGGAAATTTTTGGTTTGTATAGTTAGATATGGTTTTAAAATGACATAATGACACCACTTTATAATTTATTTAATGGTGGCATGATTGTTATGGTGTCATAAATGATGATTTATATAGTTTTAATATGTGCTCAAAAAACTGTCTGCATGAGTCATGATTTTGTAAGCCTTGTATCTCCACCATATCTCCTCTGATTCTCACGATGTGGTGCTCAATCCAAAGCCCTGAAGCAGCACTACAATATGGTATCAGCATGTCACTGAGGTCTTTATGTATTCTCACATAATATTGTAAATAGTAAAAAATGCAAAAACATGTGGACAGTTTTTTGAGCCACTGTATGTCAACGGCTACATACATGGGCTCTGACTACCACCCTCCCGAACTCAACTATCACCCTTCCCAGCCTGACTACCACCCTCCCCAGCTCGACTACCACCCTCCCCAACTCGACTATCACCCTTCCCAGCCTGAATACCACCCTCCCCAGCTCAACTACCACCCTCCCCAGCTTGACTACCACCCCCCCAGCCTGACTACCACCCTCCCCAGCTCGACAATCACCCTCCCCACCCTAATGATCACGTTCCCCAGCCTGACTTCTTCAATCAGCTCTTTGATCAGGAAGACGACCTCTACAATCAGCTGGAGCCTCAATACCATGATTTATTCGAATTTGGAGGCTCTGGGGTGGCGTGTCATATGCTATTGGACCTTGGAGATGCCACTGCACTGCATGCACCCAGTCCAGGGCCAGGGCAAGCATCAGCACCAGCACCAGCACCAACACCAACAATAGTAGGTGTTGTGTTGCCCCATGAATAAGAGGTTCAGCAGGGCAAATTTAGTGGTGGTGTAATTCATGTACGTTTTCTTTTTCTTTTTCTTTTTTATGGCTAATACTAATTACTTTGGCTAGGAGCTACAGACGACGCATTCAGTTGGCCAACCACGCACTATCAAACAACATCTCCCTCCCACACCTGCACCCAGGCCAGCACAGATAGAGATTCCATCATCTGCAGCTAATCCTGCAGTTAGTCTGGTAGCACCTGTCAAACTCAAAAAGGACAAGATCAAGGCAATCAAGACTGAGGCAAAAATGCTTCTCCATTGCATGATGTTGCAAACAGAGGGCGTTTCATCGATGCGCAGGCAACGAGATGCACATATTTCAAATGTGTTGCAGGATGCCAGAATCAACGCAATCGGAGAAGGTGAGTACTAACAATTGTATGAAGAACATTGCTGATATATATATACATATTTAGTTCCCTATGAATCATTTGAGACACCAAAAGTGCACAAAGAGATGGTGATGTCAATGTCACATATGCGGAGACTATTCAAGACATATGCCTCACATAACGTTCTAGATGCTTTGAATTTACGCCTCCCGCCTGTGGAGAGGGCTGGCATAGCACAAGGGTACCTCTCAACTTCCTGCACAAGATTGAAATAGTAAGTGTCTCGTCATGTGACATTAAAGCAACTTATTATTACACTGATAGGTCAATGGGGTCGAAACCACACATTTTTTGGAGGCCAAGTACTTAATGAACATGATTGTAGATGTCATATGGCAGGAAGGGCTATATCCCAACATCAACTTGGAGAATCTTGACCGTGTCTTTGGTCTTGTGGGGGCTGCAGTTCATAATGCCATCAAGGCATATCATGAGGGTACATACGAAAATGTTGACACATCCGCTGAACAGTTTTATGATATCTATAATTCTATCATAGTGCTGATAAGACAAATCCATCTTGATGATGCACTGAGAGAATGGTATGTTTCTCTATGTAATCTAATCATTGCACATGGTGAGGCAGATTTAGGGTTGTAGTTTACGTTCATCTGTATAGATAGGTTTACAATATATTATTTATTGTTTCTTGCCCATTTTTTGTGGTTGCAAATTGTATTGCACTGGAGCCAAGTCACCTAAGGTGCAATAATGACTAAAAAGGCGTGTGAGCTGACACTGACTAAATATAGTTCCCAAACAGTGCCTCAAAGGCTCATTTCTGGATTTTGGATTTGCTGATGTTGGATATACACACTGCTGATGCTGTATGATCAAGAAGATATGTACAGGTCAGCAAGAATGAATTACTGCCCATTCATGTACAGCAATCGGATCAGGTACCCAAATGCATAAATCTCACCAATAAGGTTAGGCGCTTTGAGGTACATTGATACACAGCCTACTTATGATTTGATCATCCAGTGGCAGACAAGAAGATAACATGAATAAATAACATACTTACAAACTCGAACTTCCATCGTTCAACCTCCATGTATTGTTCATTCCATTCATAGTGTGCCAACAAAACACCTGTGAGTGATGACCTTGACCATAAGTTAGTGGATAAATTTTGAAATAGCAGTCATATCAAGTAATCATCATGTCTTTGCCTACCCCCAGATTGTTGCTGGTGTTCCAGGTAGCATCCCATTCTGTGACAAGTCTGATACCAAAGATGTCCCTGCGATTGCAACTGCCTTCAAATTTCTCTTCATCAAACATTGAGACTCCCAAGATGTTAATGATAATTCCCTGCCAGAAATTTGAAGGACATACCAAACCTGTCTCCAATGTAGTGCACCTGCTTGACAGACAGCGGATTATCACTTGTTCAATCAATGGCTCACTGCAAGTATGGAACTTGAAGAGCGGAGAGCAGATAGGGGATGACTGGTGGGACATGGAAAGTGATGTGCACACAATTGCATTGTCTCCAGATGGGGAGAACTTAGCAAGCGGGAGCAAAGATGGTGCAGTGAGGTTGTGGAACATTGACACAGGCAAGGTTATCAATAAATGGACTGGTCACAAAGGGCTTGTGACATCTGTCTGCTGGCATCAGGATGGGCTTCAAGTGGTGAGTGGATCCCTCAATGGTACTGCATGGCAATGGAATGTGGAAAACAGAGAGACTCTCCTTGCATTAACTGAGACCAGACACACAAGGGTGGAGGCAGTTGTCTATTTGCCAGACACAAATATGTTTGCAACTGCTGGATTTGATGAGTCTTCAACTATTGGACTCAGGGACTGTTCGGTCAAGGTCTGGGATGCCATGACAGGAGAGCTGGTTACCACTCTCAAAGGACACACAGACACAGTGTCCTGCCTGACCTGGGGTGCAGAGCTTATATCTGGGTTAGCTGATCACTGGATTAGGATATGGAACACTTCCACATGGGAGCAGATCATCTGTCTGGATGAGCACTCTGCTGGTGTCAATGCCATTGCAGTGTATGATTGCATCTTAGCAAGCACATCATGTGACAAGACAGCACAATTATGGAACCTTGACAATGGCCAGCCAATCAGTTCACCCATCAAGCATGCAGATGCAGTGTCCTGCGTGTCATTTTCAGCAGATGGACAGCTAGTAGCCACTGGCTGTCATGACCATAATGTGTATGCATGGACAGTCATTAGAGACACCTCCCCTCAAGCAGCCCATGGGTTTGGCCTCCTCCTGAATTTAAATGTGAGTTTTGATAGCTCTTCTCATTGCATCTATGTTCAAGGAACTGAGTGCACTTCCTGCATGATGGTTACAAGCCGTTGCCCAATGTACATTATACATCTATAAAAAAAACCATCTGATTTTGATCTCATTACCATTCTAGGCTGATGCTACTCAACATTCAGTGCAGCAAGTCAAGGATGTCAGCAAAGTATCATCAGAGTGGCTGCAGACTCAGGGGGGACAATATATGCTGCAGACAAAGAGCGGATGAGAGTGGCTGCAAAAAGGTGGGCAAGACTGGCTGCAAACACTGGGGGAATGAAACTGGCTGCAGATGCCAAGGGGACAAGACTGGCTACAGCTTCCAGATGGGCA